TCGCTTGAAGTGGGGACCTGTGACTGCTGTCACCTCTGCCTGGTGGTGTCACCAATCCCATAGGAACCCCTGAAGGAGAGGTGACCCCAGCCCACACAGCTCTGCCTTCATTTTCCCCTGGGAATGGCAGGGCTTGTCTGCTGTTCGGGAAGCAGGTTCATGGACATTCGCCCCTGGCAGGAGATGGACACCCGTCTCCACAGCATTGGTGACTGCAGAAGCAGGCACTGGCCTGACGTGTCAGTGGGGCTGGTCACCGGGCTTTGGAGGAGGCTGGAGGCAGATGGCCACTGTGGGCAGCCGCCTCCCCTGATCGTAATTAAGGCCAGTTAAGCCGAGACATTCAGCTCCTGGGGACCGAAGGAAACCACTCAGGCCCCTGGGCACACATGAGTCACCAAAGTCTTTGGAAGTTGGGAGAGACGTCTGATGACGTCCCCGAGGCCCACCGTGTCCCAACAGTGCCTGAAATTCAGGCTACGCTCAACAAGCAGGAGGCGGCGTGAGCGAATGGCTGGCCTCGTGAGGAGGCCACACACAGGGCCAAGAGGCTGAGCCACCGACGGAGCCTCCGACTCAAGATGGAAAAGTGGTTTTAAAACAAATGACACGGCTGTCACTCCCTTCTCCTGGAAGCAGACTGCATTACTGTTGAAAGCGATGCTGCGAAACAGATTGCTTCCAAACTATTCACTGCTGTCTGATTCGCTCGTCTCTTGCTCAGTCCCCCGACAGCCAAACATCTGTGCACAACTTCTCCAAACAGCTGGCTCTGGCTCTGATGGAGCCAGCTGTTCCCCGGGTTGCATATCCCCGGGGTTAGTGGGCCGAGTTGGCTGGGAGCTGTCCTAGGACACCGGCTCTGTCCTCAGTGTCCTACTGCTACAAGGGGAGATGCCAAATGGTGAGCCTGCAGTCATCGCCGGGTGACGGTGGCTGTGCTCCTCCGACCCACAGGAACTCTGCCTCTGTCATCTCATGCGATAGCCACAAACCCACGAGGAACCCGGGGAGGCGTCCATCACTGAGAGCAGCTGGAGGGCTGGCCGGAGCTCACAGTTCTTTTGTGGCTCTGGACCTGGGGTGGAGCCACCAGCCCCCACTTCTCCCTAGAAACCGCTTGGTCCCCGTGAGCTCAGCCTTGGGGACCCGTCCAGGGGGCATCTGAAGCTCCTGCTGCTCTGCTTCCTCTGCAGGCACCTGCAGGGCAGCTTCTTCGCCTCCGTTTCTTCTGTAGCACCTGCCGCGAGGCCCGATCATGCTCAGCCAGGGATTTGTTTTTGGGCTTCGCTCCTCTCCTCAGAGTTCCCCTGGGGACAGGCTTCCTCTGACTTGGGAGCTCCCTGGACTGGCACCTGGTGGGCCCTGCCAGGCTGCTCCCCTCCGGCACCACTGAGAGAAACTGCCCAGGCGGCAGGTGGGCCCAGGGCCGGACCCGCCTCACTCGGTTCTTGTCTCTTGTGGCCTAATGTCCTCTTCTGTGAGGACCCTTGTTTTGCATATCTGGTCTTTGGCAGGTTTGTGTTTCGGGGGTGGGTGGAAGCAGCAGCCGGGGCTCTTTGGTGTGTGTGTGTGACCTAGGATTGAGCCCCGAGGCACTCTACCACCAAGCTCCACCCCAGCCCTTCTGGTTTTTTATTTTGAGTCAGGGCCTTGCCAAGTTGCCCAGGCTGGCTGCAGACTTGCCATCCTCCTGCCTCAGCCTCCCAAGTCGCTGGGATTACAGGCGTGCGACTGCACCCAGCTAGAAGTCCCAGAGCTTTTAATGATACGTTTCCTAAGAACGCGGCTCCTCGGATGAATTCAAAACAAGCCTAGATCTTTCTAAACTGTCCTCTTTGGTGGCCAGTCTAGTCTCACCATTCCTCTAGGCAACAGGAATGTTTCCTGAATACAGCAGGCAAAGCCTCGCCGAGACTCAGAAAGGGTATGGCGACCTCTGAGATGCCAGGACACCTCCTGCCTTTCTGTCATGTGCAGAGAGAGTGACAAGAGGAGGCAGGAGCTCGGCAGCCTTGACAGTCTGACTGCGTTGGCCTCCCCTGTCTGCTCCCTGTCTCTCACGAGGCATCACTCCTGCCCCTGAGCCACCCTCCCTGCAGCCACAGATGACCTCACCTGGCAGGTTAGCCATCTGTGCGTGCCTCTTCTTTTGGAGACTGCTGGCTCCCTGAGCAAGAGGATCAGGTCTCAGTCAGCTTTGTAGTGACTCACGGGGTAGCTGGCACCAGGCCTAGGGAGGGCGCGGGTTCTGTCTGATTCATCTTGAGAGCCCCAGCTCCCCGCACAGTGCCGAGCAGCAGGCGCGCTCCGTGTGTGTATCTGGTAGATGAATGAATGAATACATTCAGGTCACTGTCCTCTCAGGTACAAACCGTCAGCTACCCACACAATGAGCTGCCTTGTCATCTCTGGAGAGAGGTACTGGCCACATCCAGCACAGGGAAATTGAGGCGGGGGCAGGCCTGGCAGGTAGCCCAAAGATTGAGGTCTCCAGCCTGGCCCCTGGGAAAGCTGTTTCTTCTGAATGCTGGAGGGGGACACTCAGCTAGAGCTTACTGCTGTCAGGATCCATTGTGTTTTGAAAAGTGACCATACAAAGGACATTCCTACCCCATTGACGGTTATGCAGGGGAAGGAGGAGGAGCTGTGGAATCGAGTGATTCCAGTGATTCCAAGTGCGGCTCCTCGAGCTGATGGAATTTCTCGCCCTGTTGGCATCTTTCAAGGGACAGTTCTACCTTGGGCATTAATACCTCATTCACGGACATGAGTGTCCATAGCTGCTGGGATTGTGACCACCAAAGTGCTACTGTTCGGGGAAACAACCCCTGGCACAGAAACCAGAACCGATTCTTTGGCAGTGAGAACAGGGGGTAAGGCGTTGGCATGTGGGCCCCGTGGGGACAGGCAGCCTTGCGTGATCTGATGGTATGTCTGACCCCTGCGGCGACTGCTGCTTAGGGAAGGGGCCTGGATCTCTGTCTGGTCACCCTGGGAAGACTTGCCCAAGTCAGGGACACCTCAACTGAGGAAATGGGAGGAAGGATTTGGGGTTTGATATTTCAAAAAAGAAAAGACATCGAGCAAGTTCTTCAAGAGGTAAGTGGGAGTTCTTTGGGCCACCCTCCCCTTACTTGAGTTTATTTAGACTTTGGATCCTGTACCTGATCGTGCCCTGGCTGGGGCAGCCCAGTGGCATTCTTGTCCCAGCCGTTTCATGGGAAGCACAGCTGATTATACGTGGGATCTGAGGTCCAACCCTGAGGACCTTGCATTTGCTAATGGTGTTTTAGCACCAGCCCCCTGGGAAGTGCATAATAGCTTCCTGGATCTCTTAATCCAGCTGCTGTTAATTCAGTAACAACTCAGTCACCACCGTCTCTCCATCTCCTCTGCATCTTCCGTGGTTCTACCCAGGAGAGAACAAAAGTGGGAGCATTGGGGAAAAGCAGCTTGCAGTTCCTTTTAAGGCCAATCTGCACAGACCCCAGGACCCGGCAGCCCCACCCCGAGTGTTTACCCAAGAGAAATATGAAAACATGTCTCCACAAAGGCTCACAGGCACGACTTTCGGCAGCTCAAAAACCTGGGAATAGCCTACGTGTCCATCAACAGGGACACGGTAAACAAATGGTAGCATACGTGGTGGAGTTCTGCTCAGCTACAGAGAGGAAGGAATACTCAAGTGTGCAACCTGCAGACGAGTCTCCACCACTTTCTGGATAAAGAAAAAACAAGAAGACGTTGGCGACTCTGTTTATGTGAATGTCGGGGAACAAGCAAATCTAATCTATGATTTTAGAAATCAGAATAGCCATTGCCCTCAGGGTGGGGACTGGCTAGAAAGAGGTACTTTCTAGGGTGTGGGGATGTTCTGTGTTGTGATGGGCTGTGGCCTCTGCAGGTGGACACCTTGGTCAAAGCTGTCAGGGGTGCACGTGAGGTGGAGCTAACCCCTGGATCAGAATGATAAGACCGTCTGCCTGTCCTTAGGAGGGTCCCCACTTGTCCCCCAAGTCCTGGGGCTGTCCTCAAGTCACTTATTCTTGAATGGACAGAGGCTGGGCATATTTGATTCTTTTGGGTATATTCTTGTGTCTTGAAGACCTACCCAAGGCTGGCACTGTCTGTTTGACCGCCGTCCGTCCCCCTTCCTCTCTTCTTCTCTCTTTTCTACCTTCCCTCCCTTTCCTTCTCCTTCCTCCCCCACCCAGCCCCTCTGCTGTCCCCAGCACGGCTTTCCAGTTGTGCCAGGTCTTTCCAGGACCTCGCTCTGGGATGAAGCTCTGCGGTGTCTTTGCTTTCTCAAGGGGACCTGAGCCTGCCTCTTGACACCTGTGCTTCAGAGGCACCCGACACAGCCCATATCGAGGAGGTGCAGATTCACCCCAAAGACTTCATGGGTGGGACAACAATGAGAGGGCCTCATGGCACCCAGTGCCAGGTGCTTTGTTGATGACACTTTTCCACATTCTGGCCACCCCCATACAGACTGAGATGACCGCAGGTGTCCCCACTAGGCCAGACCCAGGACTGCACAGAGCCAGCCTCTTGCAACAATTAGCTTAAGAAACTGACCTCACGGCCGCCTTTTCTCTCTCCTCCCCTGGAGTCCCCTGTGAGCCCGCTCCCCACCCCCACCTGTAGCGGAACCGGATTTAATGCCTCAACTGAGAGAATGAGATGTTCTGTTATTTTTCATGGGAAATTAAACCTGACCCGGCTGTCAGTTAGCTCATGCCAAGGGAGGATGGATGGCCCGGGCGCGGCACTTAACCCCTGCTCTGCGCACGCCAGGGCCGGGATGGTGGCATGGGGGAGGGGCTGGCTGGGAGCCAGGCATGACGTCACCCGCCGCAGGCTGGGGGTGGGACTGCAGGAAAGGTCAGAGGGCCTTCCTGGGGGTAATGATGTCCAGGAGGTCCATGCTGGTGGCACCCGCCATGGTCCCACCTCTGATGCTCCCCCCGAGACTCAGCTGCTCCTGTGTCTTCCAGTTCCCAACTCTACCTCGTGCCCCGATGAGGAGAGCTGGTGGTCGGGGCTGGTGATCATCGTGGCCGTATGCTGTGCCGCCCTGGTGTTCCTGACCGTGCTCGTCATCATTTGCTACAAAGCCATAAAAAGGTGAGTGTCACTGTGCCCAGCTCTGAGTCCCGGGGGGAACCCGCTGGGCTCCAGGCTCCTCCACCCACCCTCCAGCACTTTTTAAAATCATACAATTGCTGAGCCCATAAGAAGCAGAAAGACTGTACAACAAACTTCCCTGTGCCCTCGCCCTGATCCCGCAGTTTCCGAGGTTTTGCTGTATTTGCTGCATCTATTTCCTCTTTCTTTCTTTCTTTCTTTCTTTCTTTCTTGTTGCTGGAATATTTTAAAGTAAACCTCAGTCACGATGCCCCATTTTTTTTAGGGAGTTTGATTCCACGAGCTTTTGACGTGCACCAGTTGTGTGTCAGGCCCGGCGCAACCCAAAAGAACAAAAAATATTGCCAAACTCCAAAGGGTAATGGGAGTTGTTAATAATACGGTGTATCTAAGAAAGCGTTTTTAATTCCTTGCCATCCCTGTGAAGAATGATCATAACACCTAAAACGTTTAATTTACCTCTTTTAATCTGTTGGCATATGCGACCTCACCTCAATAATTCAAAAGCAGAGACTAACATCATCAAGTTGAAAGTCTTAAAATGAATCATGATCAAGCATCCAGGAAGGGGGCCAACAGTGTCCTGGCAAGTGAGCGGAAGAGGCCAGACCCAGCAGCAGGACCCAGCGTGGCTGCTGCAAGCAGCACAGGCCATGCCCTGGGCATGGACCTCCCAGCCTAGAACCCCCCTTCTCCAGTGCCCATGCTGCAGGGCAGTCTCTAAAATGACAGTAAATACCCAGGGAATAACTGTGGTCAACTCCTCGCCAGGCACCGGGTTCACCCCCTCACCCACACTCTTGGCTCCTCTTTGCCTCATCTCTTTCCAAACAGCCCCATTTGCAGATGAGGAAACTGCGGCCCTGAGGAGTTAGGGAGCTGCCCAGGATGGTACAACCGGGGAGCAGTCAAGTCAGAATTTAAGCCCAGAACCATGTGACTCCAGAGCCCAGCCCTGGCCATGGCACCACTTTACCAATATGTTTGATTCCAGTGTTGGATGTTCCTGCTCTTGCTCAGGGGTGCAGAAAAGGGGGGCCTGTGAGTGTGGCAGGGTGAGTCTGCAGGACTGGGAAGGACAGACAGACAGAGCTCACACTAGCATCTCGTCAGAGTAGTGCTGCCCTGCCTTAGCTGAGCTGGGCTCTGAGAGGGCTAGGGGATGACCAGAGAAGGAGCATGAAGGGAAGGCTCCCTCCAGGGGCTGTGGCAGCTTTTTCTAGGGACATGGGCAAGTCCAGGGAGCAAACGGGCTGATGAAGCCAGAGCAGCCATGGGGCAGTAGCTCCCCAGCACAGCAGCCAAGGGGACCGAAACTTAGCCCTCAGGGAGAGTCTGCCCAGCTGGGAGTTGGTGGAGACACAGAGAAAGGGGAGGACATGTCCCCCAGCATCTCTGCGCCTCTCAGGTCTCCTGTGGGTCCTCCAGTGGCCAAACCCAAGATGCCGAGGAAATGGAGAGATGCGGTCTGAGATGAGCCTCCTGGGGTGCCAAGCAGGGAGAGAGTGAAATGGCAGCCGGGGGCACATGGAGACAGCCATGATGCCCATCCACCTCTTGGCCAAGATTGGGACACGGGGAATAAGACCCAGCCTCTGCCTTCAGGTTGTCCCTAATCCAGAGACAGTGTCCTTGAAACACAATACCTGGTGCCAGGAGGGGGCCTGCACACTGCAGGCGGAGGAAGAGACCGCCAGGAGGAAGAGACCGCCCGGCTTCCAGAGCCCTGGGGGCCTGCCCTGGGGGGGCTGTAGAGAGCCTTGTGCTAGCCAGGTCTGTCTGCACTTCTCCCCAGAGCAGATGGAGGGTTTCCTGCTCTCGGCCATTTCTTTTTGGTCAATAATTCATCTGAAACATGCCTTTCCTCTCAGGAAACAGAAACAGCCCGCGACACTGTGAAAGAAAAATTCAGTGAGAAGCCCCACGTTTCTGAGCTCTCGCAGCCTCCAGTCCCAGGGGGGATTTCCATCTCATGAAAGGCCCCCGTCCAGCCTTTCAGAGCCAGGTTGCAGGAGGATGGTTCTAGAATCAGCTGGGGTAGGAAGGAGGCGATTTGGGAGTTGCCAGGTTGAGCATTGGGGTCAAGATAGTCGGGAGGCCTGGTTGAAGGGGGCTGGTCTTATGGGAGGTGTAGTGGTCAGCATTCCCAGGAACCTCATCCTCCAGGACCAGGGGAGAGGCTGAGGGCAGACAGAACCTCTGAGAGTCCAGACAACCAAAGCCTCTTAGTCCACAGTGGAAGAGGAATCTTAAACCAGGGTGAGCCATCGAGTCACCAAGATAAAATTCCAAGGCACCCACTGCCCCAGTGACCTGGGGACACTCAGCAGGGAGCTGCCCTCCTGAGGTGGCCTTTGCACCCTTTCACCCCATGAAAGCCCCTGTGTTGAGGCGAGATGACCCCCACACACACCGTGCTCCTGTGTAGAGGCACCCACACCCCAAGGACAGGCAGAGGCCTTGCCTGGGGGCCTCAGGGCCCTGGTCCTTGCTGTCACTGTGCCTTCGCCATTGAACCTCTTGACAGCCATTTCCGTCTCGTGTTCAGGCTGCGACGGTGGGGCCGATGGGGAGCCCGGTCCTACAGACTGGACTGTGGTCAGTGCAGTGGGTACTCTCGGGCCGGGCTGGAGAGCCTGCACTCCAGCTATTACTAGATGTACTGTTGAGCCTCTTCCTGTGGAATGAGCACTTTTGAATGCTCCAGCTTCTTTCGTGGTGACTTGGAAAAGCCCTTGACTGGCACAGGGCTTCTCAGAAAGTTGGTGTTGGCCCACGGGTATTGAGCATCTTCTGTATGCCAGGGCCTAGACCAGGCTCCAGGGATGCAGAGTGAACAGGATTGAGACCCCATCCTCATCCTGCCAGTGAGACAGGCAGATTACAAGCCCACACCCACAAACTAATCCACAAGGTGGTTTAAAAGACATTGCTACGAAGAGAAGGTGAGCGGACACAGAAGGAGGGGACGCAGGGGGGTTGCTTCCACCAACCGGCAAGTCAGGCGTGTTGTGCACACTTTTTCAAAGAGCTTAATGATTCAAAAGTGTGGCTAGGGCTTTGCGCACTCATTACCACCTTTTAATTCAGTTTTTATTTTTGTCAGAGTTAATACATGCACATAATTTAAAATGTCCTATGTGCCATAAAGTTATTAGGGAAACAACAGCCCCTGACTTCTGCTGCTCTTCCCCATCTCGTTCTTGAGAGGCGGCCACTTCTGACAGCTGTTGCCTGCTGTGTCTCCTCTGATTCTAAGTGATGTGCACACAGCTATTTGAGTTTTCCTCCAATTTGGAACATTATCTACTAACTTTCCACTATGGAATACCAGGGTCGGCACCCCTAACCCACAGACCTTCAAAACTCTTCCTCTCTTCTGTCCTCCATGGGTGGCCTCCCAGGGTGGGGCTCAGGATATTCAGTGGTGACCTTAGTCTAACCATGTGAGCCTGCCGTTTACCACGGTTTCTTTGCTTTCCTGGGTTTCCTCTCGGTGTGCTCGGGCCCATGGTGCCAGTTTCCTCTTGGAGACTCCGTCCTTCTGCAGGGGGCCTGGTGGCTCTCTGGGCCTGCTGTGTAGCCACTGGGCTGTGGTCCCTGCAGCAGCTTCCCGGGACCAGCACTCCAAACAGGCTTCTGTCTGGAACTCTCCACACTTGGCTTCCCCCACCCCGCTCCGGGGCTTCATTTCTTCATCTTGATTCCTTCAGGAACTTATTATAAGGTCGGGCCCAAATATACACTCCATAGAAAGCTCATCAGTGGAAGTAGTTTTTTTTTTTTTTCCTCCAGAATTTACATTCTTTTGGGACTTCAGGGTGGCCCAGATAGGGGTTTGTTCTTCCTTCCTGCAGAGCAGACCCACTTACCTGGGCAGCTGCATTGCCAGACAGGGCTGGGGATGAGTTTCCCTGGGGTCCGAACCACAGCAACCTTGGAGAGGTCATGAGCAAATGGAAAAAATGCCGGATCTCTCTCTTCCCTGCCCAACTGCTTGTCTGAGTCCATGGCTCCGCCTGTGCATCCTTCTTTCTAGAGGTAAAGCTGGGATCCCACTCCTCTCACTCATCTCTCCCCGATGTGCCTGGCACGGCACCTGCACCAGGGGCCACTTGGTGACCATTTCTCTGGCTTGAATGGAGGCCTGTTTACACACGTGCCAGATTCCACCTTTGAATTTGATGAAGGCCATTTAGAATTCCAGCAAACTCATTCCCCCCCCCCCTTCTCTCTGGGTGAGTGAAGGAGAATCTGTTTGGAGTAAATAGCATGTGCCCAGGGCTCAATGCCAGGCCCCACCCTGGCACCAGGTTCGGTCTCCTCCACCCTCTGCTATCTCTGCCCTTCCCCCTGAGTCCTTCTTCAGCCTCCTCCACACTCTAGCTCGGTGACACAGCAGCTCCCCTCCACCTCAGAGTGGCATAGCCTCCCCCCCACCTGTGCGTGACATCTCGGGCCCCACCATGAAGGGTCCCGCCACCTGCCACCTCCTCATCCACCCCATGGAGCACGGCTACTGGCCAGGGGCCAGCCACCTCCACTCCCCTCCCTACTCAGGCCACTAGCTGAAGGGTAGGGACAGGGGACACAGAGGCAGGCTGGCCCAAAGCCCCAGGGAGGCCCAGGGATTCAGGACAGGATGGAAATTCTTCGTTTACTTTCCACTCACCATGAACTTCAAGAGCAAGAAATACACCTGGAATGCATCTGGGATTCCCTCGGGCTTCGCGACTGGTCTATCTCAGGGACAAACACCTGTGGCCAGGTGGGGGCCTGATGTAGTAGCTGGGGCTGGACAGCTGTTCCCACCTGTCATGTCTCTCTGCTGTCTGTGTAGGCACCCGTAACCCCACCCCCCACCCCCCACACACACACACGCCCAAGTGCTGTCCCTGGCTGGAAGTCCAGGTCACCACTTCTCCTGCTGGGAATTGAGTGCACATTGGCACACTCCCCGTAGGGGCCTCTGCTGGTCAAGTGCTGGGCCTCGGGGCACAGCCTCAACTGCTGAAACCACCTGCCGTCCTGGGCCACCTGCTGCACTCGAGGAGCCGGCACCTGCACTTTGCTGCACAATCCAGACTCATTGCCCCCGAGGCCAGCACTGCCCCTGGGCCTTGCCCCGTCCTTGGGCTGTCTGGGGTTTGGCTTCTCCCTGGTCAACGCACTGGCTCCTTTTGAGTCCGGATGCCACAGTGTCTCCCACCATCATCACCATTGTCCTGCCTCCAAGAAGGGCTTGGGCTGAGACGGGATGTGGCGGGTGTCGGGCTGCCCTGGATGCAGGAGCTTGCGTGGCTCCTTTCCATCAGCGTTGGCTGACATGGACCCAAACAGAGCTCTGCCCTTTTTTTTTTTTGGTGTGTCTGTGTGTGCCAGGGATTGAACTCAGGGGCACCCGACTACTGAGCCACACCCCCAGCCCTATTTTGTATTTTATTTAGAGACAGGGTCTCACTGAGTGCTTAGCACCTTGTTTTTGTTGAGGCTGGCTTTGAACTCACCATCCTCGTGCCTCAGCCTCCCGAGCTGCTGGGATTACAAGTATGCCACTGTGCCCAGCTCTGGGGCCTTTTTCTTTTGTCATGAAGAAGTTCACCCCTCTCTGAAGCCAGTTCCCCAGGCCCACTGGGTCAAGGTTCTGGACTAGTCATTGTTCCTGGAGCCTCAGAGAAGCAGGTTCCCAGTGTCCCAATGAGACAGGTGCCATTGGGGCCACTCCTGCCCAGAGACCCTCCAGCAAAGGGCCTTTACCCCCTCAGCCATGCTGGCATCTCAGGGGCTTGAAGGATGGTCATTGAACTTGAGCTAGTGTGGAGGCTCTCTGTCCAGGCTTCTGTAAGTGGCCCTTCGGTCCTTTCTCCAGCATCCTGGCTGGGAAGGGCATCATCCTGAATGAATCCCAGCCACAGAGCTTAGGGAAGATGCAGGGAAGAGCCTGTGAGAGGACCCTTGCCCAGCCAGCCCCGCCCTCCACTGTCCCCTCTGGGCATGTGGCTCCCCGGAGGAGGCCTCTCAGCAGAAGCCGGGGATCTGGTCAAGACCCTCAGCTTCCACCCAGGTGTGCAGGTGCTCAGACCTGGCTCATCTTTGCCTGGGACATGGCGGGGAGGTGGTGCCCAGGCCTGGAAGTGGGACTGCTGCTCCTCACAGGGATAGCTTGGTGGCTTCTTGACCCAGAGTCAGGGAAGTCTGTAGTCTACAGAGGAGTCCCATCCCGTGGCCGACCTCTGCCGTGTGTGTGTGTGTGTGTGTGTGTGTGTGTGTGTGTGTGTGTGTGTCCTGGGCTGGGCAGCGGGGAGGTGGATGCCTTTGGCAGGGAGAACCTGGGACCTGTAACCCCTACTTTGTTGAAAGCAAACCCTCCAGGGTGGGGTGAGACTAGGGGGAGCTGGGGGCCCCTCTCAGCCACCCGAGCTGCACCCTGCCTGCAGCATCTCCAGCAGAGCCGCGATGGAGGGTGGAAGCGCCACCGTCAGCCCCAGAGTGCCACCTGGGTCCTGGAACTTCCTGCCCAAGGCAGGCACAATTTCTGCCAAGGTCGCTGGACTGCGGGCATCCGGAGTCGTCAATACAACACTCTGAGCAGAGAACACAGAGCGCCTGCTGCTCCCATGCCACAGGGGCACGAGAGGTGGCAGGTGGGAGGGCCTGGCCTCCTGAGCTCGGCCAAGGAAGAGCTCACTTACCTTTCTCTTGGTTTTAGGAACCATGCCACTTAGGGAGCCCTCGGTGGCCATCTCTGCCTGGACCAGGGTGGACATGCCTCTCCTTGGTTTGGGGGACCAGCCCTGACTGGCCCACAGAGCCCAGATCCAGGCTGGGTCCTAGCATCGCCCCATAGCCCTTCTGGATCGTTACGGGCACGTGTTAGGTAGGCAGCCTGTGCAGACTGGAGGATGCTGACCACTACCAGCCAGTGGAGCAGCCCCTGCTGGCACCTTCTAGCAGCAGAGCAAAGAGTTAACAAGCACTTATGGAGCACTTACTGTTTGCCAGATGCTCATCCAAGTGTTTGACATGCACTAACACAATTAATCCTCCCAACCAGCCTATGAAATGGACACCATTACTGTGCTCATTTTATAGATGATGAAACTGAGGCACAGAGAGGTTGCTCAGCTTGCCCTAGATACACAGCCAGAGAGTGATGGAGCCAGGTTTCCCTGAGCTGTGACTTCTGCCCCTAAGTGCTGCATCAATGTTACTGTTCTGCTCTAGGTAAAAACCCCACTTCCCCTGGGTACTACTGAAGCCCAGAGGCTTTGGGAGCAGCTCTGGGCCACAGCTCGGGGAGCACAATGGCTGGGGACTTGGCTCCAGTGGCAGGAGGGGAGCATGCCACGTCCACTTCTCAGGAAAGCCCTAGATGCCACCCTCTCCCCTCACCATGTGCAGGTGTCTGTGAGCCTCTCCCTCGACAGGGTTCTAGGACCCCATGCCATGAGACGTCCCAGGTTAGAGGTGAATGAAAGAGCCAGGTGTGGAGGACCCTGCAGGAGGGTAAGGGAGGCCCTCCCATGCCCACAGGACCTTGGACCCATTTTTAGGGGATGCTGTCCCAATACTGGGAGGGTGTGTGGCCCAGGATGCAGGGGCAGGGGGTGGTGGTCCCATCATCCCCAGCAGGTCAAAGCCCTCCCTAAGCCTCAGTTTCCCATAAAGCGACCCTTGACTCCAGCCTTGCTTCTTTGGGGAACTCTGAGGAGGGACAAGGACATGTCTGAGAAGACTGATTTGCACAAAGTGGCATGAAGTGTGGGTGTCCCCTTCCCTTTCTAGAAGAAGCCCTGGGCCAGGCTTGACAGCGCAGAGTGCTCCCCCAATTCCTCCTGGTTTTGTGAGCATCTTCCACCACAGGGAAGAAGGGAGCCAGGAGCAGATTGCAGCTCAGCCCTCTTCTCCGAGGCCCACAATTCCACCCAGGCTGCCACTGGCCATCTCCTTACAGACTTCCCTCCACCAGGCTCATTCAGACAGGCTGCATCGCAGGCATGGAGCCAGCCACCAAGGGCCAGCCCCGCTCACATGGCCTTTGGGAGGCTCTGGGGACACTCGAGAAGGCACATGCAATCGTCCTGAGCTTTTCACGGTGGCCACAATGTTCAGTGGAGACAGCACTCAGCAAGTGCCCATTCAGGCTCAGTCCTGGGGACCTGGGAGGTGCCTGACAGGATCAGGTCCACCCAGGACAGCAGGACTGTGGCATGGAGCTGGGACACCGAATGGGCAGCCCAGACCAGGAGGGTGTAGATACTCCAGGGGGGGCTGGAGCTCTCCCGAATGACTGGAGCCAGGACAGACAGTAGCACAGAGATTTCAGGAGCTCAGCAACTGAGCAGGGGCTTTCTCAGAGCCTCCCTCCAATGGCCCTGGTCCCCTGTGTGGATAGAACAATGGACCTTGGGGTTCAGTAGCCTCTGAAATGAGCTGCAGATGATTTAGGATGAAGGGTTCAAAAAGCACAGATGTATGGTAATTCAATTTGGGCATCCATCACCATCATCATCATCACTTTGTCACTGCTGCCCTGGGTCTAACCATCACTGTCATCACCACTGCCATTACCCTGCCACAACCATCACCACTGCCATTACCCCCTCCTCCACCATTTTACCACTACCACCATCATCACCAGCACTACCATCACCACCACTACCACCTCCTCCACCATTATCACCATCACCACCACAACCATCACCATAGCCACTACCACCACCACCTGAATCACCATTATCACCACTACCACCTCCTCTACCATCACCACTATCACCGTCATCACCACCATCACCACTGCCACTACCCCCTCCTCCATTATTCCAACCACACCATGCCCTTCATCGTATTTACCATTTTCCTTTGGCCACACAAGCAAGAGGGTAAAGCTGCCCATTGGTGCCTCTTTCTATTCACTGTCTGCTCCCCCTGTGTCCATGTTCATGACCACAATCAATGAGATCACTCCACACTTGATCCTATGAGGCTGACTGTACGTTCTGATCTGTCTAAACAGTCCCAGTTCAGGCCTGCTTGGTTAGCAATGGTCTCATCTCCTAGATTGCATGTTACATTATATGGTCACTCTAGTTAAGAACAGTCCAGCTTCTGATGGACCCCACAGGGCCAGCAGTGTAAGGATGCTAACCCAGAAGAGAGGGCTTCATTCCAGGACTTACAGAGGTCCACCCCACAGTCACTGGTATCTAACGATGTCCCTGCCTCCCCAACCCCCTTCTAGGAAACCACTGAGAAAAGATGAAAATGGCACCAGCATTGCCGAGTACCCCATGAGCTCCTCCCAGAGCAACAAAGGGGTGGACGTGAACAGTGCGGTGGTGTGAGTCTACCCCCAGGCCCAGAACCAATGGCCACAGGGACACCTTGGTGGTACTAGTGGACATGGGAAGCCAAGTGGACACAAGCTGACTCCAGGCTTGCCCAGGACTCCATTGTCGTGCAGGCTTCGGGCCTTCTGAGGAGAACCCACCCTCTTCCCTGGCCAGCCCCGGTCAGCCCTGGGGCAGGGGCTACGCGGACATCAAGCTGAGCCTGGCCCCTGCATGCAGCCTCACACCTTCGGCTTCCTCCTCCTCCTCCTCCTCATCTTATGTTTGGTCCCCTGACTGTCCCCCAGCTGCTACCTGAAGCACGCACTCTGAGGAAGACAGGGTCTGCCTGCTGGGTTGGGGAGGTGCCCCCTCTTTAGCCAAAAGAGAGGTGATCCAAAGCCCGCCCCAGGCCCCAAACCCCCCCTCCAGGAAGCCCACCTGCTTCTCTGTGAACATCCCAACAGAAGCCATCGACACAGCCATGAGACAGACGTCCCCTTTCAAAGGTGCTTCCCACCCATCTGTCCTTACCCCCCTTCGATCGTCTTCAGTCTTCCCGGCCTGCTCCACCCTCTGTCCCCAGCCACACCTGGGCCCCGAGGTCCTGTCTGCCTGCCATGGGGTGGTGAGCCCCACCTGCAGATCCCCTAGGAGCCGCCAGAGGGGCTCGTCCACACGGAGGCGGCGTGTCCCAGGAGCCTAGGCCAGGCCACGGCCGCGGCCCCTGCACCTGCTCCCAGCCCCACACCTGGCCCCACAGGAACGAGCCCCCGTGTGAGCCAGGCCTTGCCGCAGAGGCAGAACCACCACACGTGCAGATCCTCTGTGTCCCCCAGAGTCTCCCGAGGCCTGACCATGGCACCCAGACCCTCTCCTGAGAGTCCCCAGAAAGAGGTGTTTCTGCCCAGTTTCTCCCTGTGAATGTCTTCTCTGGGGTCCCGTCCTCTGAGAGTCTCGAACCCTCCTGAGGGTGGGAAGGAAGGGGAGGGAAAGGAGGGACCCTCCAGGCTCGGGGACCCCCCAGCCCTGCCAGCTGTTTCCAAGATGGTCACCTGCCCTAGGGGGCTCATTGCTGCACCCTGGAAGGCCTGGGGATTGTGCATCCCTTGACAGTTAGGAGAGCACTGTGACCCCATGGCTCCCTGCGTCACCCCGACACTGGCCTCGTAGGAATTAACTGGTTGCACCTGCTTTGCCACCTAAGTCACCACTGAGCTTCTCTGGCCAGTGTTTGGGCTGCAGGTGAGACTTTCAAATCCAGGGAAGACTGTCAGCCGTGAAAATCAGCCCCATTTGGGCTGAAATGTCCATTGTCCTGGAGCCCATGTGCCTCTGGAGCCGTGAGCCACTCTCTTGCCCCAGGCTGATGGGCACAGCCCTGGGCATGCCCTCCCATGGGGGCCTTGTCTGCCTTCCCTCTCTTCTGCTTGAGGACTTGGCTTGGGTTTGGACCTGGATCTCGCTTCCCCAGCACCTAGGCATTGGCACAGGGCTGCCTGTGGCCTTCATGCTGGCTGCCCCTGTGCAGCACTCTGGGGACACAGTACTTGGTGACAAGCAGGCCAGAGGAATAGGGGCAGGGAGGTGAGAATGCAGCAGACCCCCCAGAGCACATCCCCATGGCCTGCACCTCCTGTGGTATGCACGCCGCTGGTGTCCGGAACAGATGCCTGGGCAGAAGGGCCCTAAACTCGTGCCACCTGGCCCCGCGCTAGTCAGAAGCTCCAGAGCCACGGGAGGTACCTTCAGCTGGAGGGAGGCCTGTGGCTACAGGGTCCTGGAAGGCTGGGCCAGACCCAGGGAGGTTCAGCATGGTGCAGCTTTCCGTGCCACCAGGTACCACTGTCCCCAACTTTGGCTCAGACCTAGCCCAAATTTGACCTTTGGCCTGCAGGAACCGTGACTGAGCTGTCTGTTGTGCTTTGGCTTCTGAGACATCCAGGGCTTGGGTTTGCACGTGAACCCCCTCACCTTTGCTTGTGAAATCCCTTCTTGCCCAGGGAGAGCAAACCCAGGAGGAGCCCCCTCGTCAGGGCTGGCCATTCAGAGGATACACAGTGCAGAGAGTGAGGCCACCAGAAATTTAGTTCCTAAGATCAAAGGGCATGTGAGCTTAGGACGTTTTGCTTTACAATGGATCTGTGGTGCTCAATGCAGGGCCATCCTCAGATGAGGCTGAGCTCTGAGGCCAAGGAGAAAACGCATGCTCCTGAGCATTTTCTCAGATGTCTTCAGCCATCTTGATGGGGAGCCCAATGGCATTTAGGATCTGCCGGAGTCATCAGGTGTTCCTAGAGGCTTCTAGAGGAAGTTTGGGAAGAAAGACTAATAGGTGTAAAAATATAGACATATATATTATATATAGTTATATATATTTAAAGAGATATCTATACATATATATATATATATATAATTACTATACTCTGCATCTGTACAAAGTATGATTTAAGCAGCCCAGGTAGCATCAGACACGTAATGCATGAATGTAAATATCCTGAAACTGCCTTCTTAGCAATGTGCCGTGTGTACAGGGGAAAAGACCTGTCCCTTGGGGTTCTGTCTCAATGGACAGATGTACAAGTCGAAGCTGTCTTGTCCACCAACAAGCCATAATGTCAATTTCATGCTGAGGCTTCTGTATAGGAAGTGGGACCAGCAGCCTTGGGGTGGGGTGCACCGAAAGCTGCTTATGAGGAAGGAAGCACCGTGACTTTTTTATTTTCAATAAAAATATACTTATAAAGATGGCTGTCGGTTGTCATCTGTAGTGGGCACTTGCCCTTGGGTGTGGGGTAGAAAGGAGAGGGCGGGCCAGGCAGAGGTTCTGCTCAAGCCCGGGGCTCCGTGGTATAGTGTGTGTCTTATCTCTCTTTTATATCTTCATACCTGAGATCAATATTCTGGGATACAATCAGAAAGGTTCTAGGCAAATGGAAGAAACTGGTCACCCCAACTTGGCAAGTGCTCATGGGAATCACAGAGAGCAGGAGTTGACTGGCTACACTGGGGAGCCAGGAGTCAATCTGCAGCTAGTGTCCACCTCCCAGTGTGTCCATTCCTGTGCCCAATCGTCAGTGCCCTACAGTGTCCCCAGCCACCTTGTTGCATGGAGTTATGGCCTGCCCCGTCCCACCAAGCAGAGGGGCCAGGACAGCATGGTCCCCATGCTTGCCCACCCCTGGAGCATGACCCTCTGTGGGGCCCATTCACCCCCCAGCCTCACCACCAGGAAGCCCCACTTCCAGCACTGCTCAGGAAAGCAGCTCTGCTTGGATGGGCCCCAGCAGCCGGGACGCGGGAAGGCAGAGGAAACCGGAGTTGTGCCACTTTGTCCTTCCCGTTGGTAAGTGAGGCGGCGGCGGGTCAGAAGTGGAAAGGGAGCACTTAGATTCCAGTGTATGGGTGGGCTGTGGTGACACCCGAACCTTCAGCCCCGACCCTCAACCTAGATCCTGTAACCACAGTTGGGGCTCCACTGGGCTCCTCTATCCCCACCTGGGTTCCCCACAGCATCAGTTAGTGACTTGGAAAAGGCCTTCCTGCCTGGAGTGGGGGAAAGATCTCTCCCCATCTTGGCCACAGCCCTGGGGCGGTCAGGGCAGGGCAGGGACTCGGGAAGGGCCCGCATTCTGGGCATCAGGGATGTGAGGGGCACCTCTCAGTAGTGTCCCCGGCACACCTGGATCTGTGAGGTGTAGGCACACATGGAAGGCAGCCGTCATTACAGTCGCTGTCCCTGCCACAATCAATACAAGTAGTTTGTGCCATCCAGGCTGGAGTGACAGCTGCTGTCCCCTGACACCTACATGGGCCATGCTTTGGTGCCGTGAGAGCCAGTGGGACACTCAGGCCTCACACACAGTCCTATGCACCCCGAGCCCACTCAGAGGCCAGCAGGGTGGAGGCAGGGAGCTGTGGGGGGAGGGCGAGGCTCTGCCAGCCTGGGAGGGAGGAGGGGCTGGCCTGGGGTGCCCCAGCACCAGCTCCCCAGGGCCACTTCTCTGATGCCCAGTACAGCCAACTACGTGCCCCCTGCCCTTCTCTGGGGCCCTGCTGCCACTAGCAAAGCAGGAGACAGCAGGACCCACAGGGCAACCTGCCTGCCACCTGGAGCAAGGGGGGATCGCTATCTTGAACCCTGGGGGCCGTGCAGGGACACTCTTCCTCCTTCCCACGGCAGCATAAGACAGAGACCTGCGAGGCTGGGAGAGCCGAGTGGCTGGACGCCAGCCGGCTGTCAGCTCCCCGGTGTAGCTTCGCGTGGCCTCACCTTTGGCCGCTGACCCCACCCAGCTAGTGACCCATCCTGCTGGGGCACCCACATCTTCTCCTCCCCCATTCCCCACGCTGCCCCCACCTGGCACCAGGTGCCTTCCTGCCTCTTCCACAGCAGCTCTCAGAAAGAATCTGACCAAGCGCTCAAGCCCTGGTAGATGCCCTGTCTCCCTCCCCAGATGTGCCCAGCCAGGGCTCCCGGCCCATCTGCTGTGCAAGTCGCCACCCCTCTCCCCGTCCTCTGCGATGGAGCAGGCACTCTCCACACCTCTGCCCCTGCTCCCCAGGCTCTCCTGTCCCCTGGGCCAGTGTCCTCAGGCATCTGGTGTCAGCTCTCCTTCATTTGTTCCTTCCTTCATTCATTCAGTTCCCAACACGGAGGATCTGCTCCCCGCCAGGTGGCACATGGGACACTGGGATCCACCTCTCCCAGCAGAAGTTCAGCTCCTCAGAGCAGCTCATCCCGCCTTGGCCTCCAATCTGCCTCCAGGCGCCCTTCCACCCACTCAGCCCCTCTAGCAACACCCACCGACTTCCAGTCCCCTGTCCACCTGCCCCAGGTTTCTCCTCTCCCCACTGGATCACTGTCTGCCCACCTGAACTCCCTCAAGCACCCCCATTGGCTGTGGTAGACCCATCTCTTCCACCATCTTGGTCTGGCTGCTCTAGGTGGGCCCTGCTGCCTCCCCAGTTCCATCCCTGTCATAAGCCCCACAGTCGGGTCAGCCTCCTCTGCACCCTATGCCCACTCCCTGGTTGGGTTTTGCGGTCCCTGAGAGTTTGCCCTTCCAATCTGGGTGGCCACATCTCATCTGCTGCCCAGGTCCCTCTACAGGCTGTCTCCACCCTGAGCACCCGGCACACACACCCACATATGCACAGAGCTGGAGTCACCCCCCCCTGGGGTGGCATAGTCTTGCACACACAGCTTTTGTGTTCGGCCCTCTCCTGTGGGTGTTCCCTGTTGCCTCCCGACCCCGTCCCGCCACTGTGAACCTGCCAGCCCAAGACCCTCTGTCAGCTGATACCCTAGGTGCTGATGGGGGACCTGTGCAGTGTCCTGGGGATACGGAGGGAAACAGGACAGGGCCTGCCCTTCAGGCACAGGGTGGGGGTGGTTATGGGTCTGCAATGTGTATAGAGACGGTGACAGCAGACAGAGACCAAAGGGACACCCAGGCCAGCTCCTCAGCACATCTGTGCCTGACTTCTCTGAGCCTCCTCAAGCCTCAGAGGTACAAAGTTCACCCTTATCTTACAGAGAGCAAGCAAAGGCCTAGTGACATGAGGGGCTGGCAAGGACCAGAAAAGCAGGTGTGGCAGAGCCACATTTCAGGCACCGCTCAAAGTTTTTCAACCAGGATGGGCCCTCAGAGTTCAAAGGCTCCATTCCCTGCAGATGGGCACCCAAGTATCTTCCCAGCCCCAGGTCGTGCAGTCAGGGATTCCTGGACCCAACAGATCATTCGAGATGGAACTTCTAGCAAAGCTCCTCCCCACTCAGAGCTTCAGTTTTCTCATCTGTAAAATAGGGCCATGGACTTGGCTCACTCTTGCCCTGATTTCTACCTTGAGTCTTTCTCTGGCCACCACTAGTCATTCTGTGTTCTGTCCCCTTAGTTTTTATCAGTATAGCACTTCCACCACCAAAGAATCATTGTCGGGCTGCTGCAAGCTTCTAGTCTTTCTCCTCCTGTTAGAATATACGGTGAAAGGGAACAGGCGCCTCCTCCAGTGTTTGGTCTTACTCATTACCAAATATTCAGCCTCCTGCAAACATCTAAGCATGCCTGGCACAGAATATTTGTTAACTTAAGTATAATTTAACACAGTATTCACAGGCATAAAGAGAAGAATGTAGCATTTTATTTCACATAGCTGTAGTCCCCGCCTCCTTGGGGTGGGGTTCGGGTAGAAAAACCTGGATTTTCAAGCTAATGGTATTTTGGCTTCTTCCTGTCTCCCTAGTAGCTTCTGGATGACTAGGTTTCTTGTGGGTAGATGCTCAGTCTTGTGTCCTCTCCAGGAAGCACCCACATGTGTCCCTGAGCAGGCATCTGTCCTTCTGGCACCGGGCAGCTGGCCTCAGGGCACATGGTGTCTTCCAGGTTCTCACAGGTCCCTGCTTCCGGGGGCTGGCCTGGCTTGCTTCTTGCACAGGTGACAGTGGGCTGTGCCTTGGCCCTTCTGGCCTTTTAGGATCTCTGGCGGGCCCCATGCTCTGGCTGAAAATGTCCAGCTCTGGGGGGTTCACCCTCCTGATTATGGTCTTTGCCCATCTTCCTGTTCTCTCAGCACCAAATCCTTGGGGATTTCTGGCCTCTGCCCACCTGCACAGGCCAGTGGAGGGCTGCAGACACTGCTGTTTATGTGCCACTGTCCTCTGGGCCTCTGGGGTTCATTTCCGAATGAGCAATGCTACAGCATCCTCACCCAGGAGGGAAGGGAAACACGCCCACCTGGCCTCCCGGCCCAGCCTGACACTTCTCTCCCTTCCCTTTTGCAACAATCCACTAGGGTCCAGAAGTGGTGGGCTCTGCACCCTCAACCTGACTGGCCAGAACTTTCCCCAATCCTCGCCTCTTCCTGCCCCACACTGTCCATGGAACAGAATGGGGCACACAGTATCCTGGAGAAGAATAAAAAACATATCCATTTATTATTTTCAAAATATTATCCCCATTACAAACACAATGATGTGCCCACACCGTGTGAAGTCCAAATGCCAACACAACGTGCCACACAGAGGAGGATTTCCCAGTTGCTCATTCAGACCCAGAAGCGTGGGGGGAGCCTTGAGTCACCGCATGAAGTGCAGCAGCGTGGGAATGCCACACGCGAAAGAACTGGAGCCAAGTGCCCATCGCAAGCTGTGATTCCATTTCAGCAAAACACAGCTGTCACATGCCATTGCAATTTGGAGAATAAATGCTGCATGAAAGCAAGGCGAGGATCACGGAGCAGGGCGCACAGAGCAGGAGCGCTCCAGGAAGGCTGGCCCTGGCTCTGTCACCCCCACTCCGTGCTCAGCCCCGGAGAGGCATCGCTCCCAGTGCTCCTCCAGGGCAGGGGAATCATGCCTCTGCTCTGCAGCTGATGAAACAGGCTTAGCAAGATCCAGCGACTTCCCTGTGGTCAGAGACCAGGTCGCAGGCAAGTCCAGGATCCCACCCAATGCAGCTGGCGCCAGCTTCCACCCACAGGCCAAAGGCTCCGCACACCCTGGGGTCTGCCCAGCTCCCACACCCTTGCCCTTGCTGGCCTGCAGGACTGTCCTCACCTGGAGAGCGCTGCAGTCCTTCACACTGGATTAGTTGCTGGTTCACTTCAAGGGGCAGAAACGCAGCTGAGCGCCTCCCAGCAGCCCCGTGAGGGGGTCCCTCCTCCACTGGCTGCAGGGGGCCAGTCTGCACTGCATAATTAAAAAGCCACCTCTTCCAAAATTTACTTGGCTTCCACAAATGTCCTGTGCACCCTGGAGGGCACAGTAGGGCAGGGCTCACGTTGGCCCACACACCTGACCCTCCCTAGCAGGACATAGAACCTTCCCTAGCAAGGCCCCCAACCACATGGTGGTTGGGGCAGAGGAGCGATTCGGGGACAAGGGGCTCATGTGGGACTGACAGCACTGCTCCAAGCCTGACTTTGCCCCTGAGTTTCTGGCTGAGTGACTCTGGATAAATCCCTTCCCCTCTGGTGCTTGAGAGAGGTTAGTTTAAATCAGGGTAGCAAACTCACAGCCTGTGGGCCAGTGGATGAATGAGGGAAGTTCCCAGGCTTGCGAACCTGCCCAAAGGTCCCAGAACCTCTGTTGAAAGGCTGTGGGGTTGGTTCTTCCTTCTTCAGAGGCCAGGTCAGTGGCAGGAACCGAGCCAAGCTGGAGCCAGTGAGCTCCACCTTTCAAATCGAAAGGAGATATTACAAATTCAAGCCTCTCAAACAAAATGTGCTGTGGTCAGGCTCAACCAGCAGGTTGTCAGTGGTGACTTCTGGTTTATGAGGTCCTAAGTCGGTCACACGAGTAGTGAAGGACTTTACCCAGTACTCAACTACCAGTTTATGGATAGCTTCAGAGGCAGACACACCAGATTCAAATGCTGCTCTCTCTTACAGAGTAACTCCTGCAAATCTTCCATTTCTATGTGCCTCAGTTTCCTCATCTTTAATATGGAGTTGATAACAGGAGAGCCCACTCACGCCATCCTGGTGAAGATTAAGCTACCTGCTATATTGGAAGTGTGTGATGTGTAGTAAGCTCTCATAAGTGGTAGCTATAATTAAAGCTCATTAAAGGCAAATTCTTTAGGGCAGAGTGAACTCTCAATAGGTCGCAAATCAAATAGAGTTCACCATCAGACTCTTCAATTCATACAAGTTTATTCTTTTGCATAAGACTATTATATTAATTGGGAGACTAAATGGGATTTAAATTGTGATCCATAATCTTTTTCATATAAATTAACTCTTCATGAAAGGAGAAAAATGCCTTTGTCAGATGAAGTGACTGTGGCTGGATTAAAATTTAGAGATGCCAATACAACTGACCGGCTTCCAAAAAGCTCTCAGATTTCTTTACCCCATGCTCCCGGCACACTGCAGCCAAAAGACCCTAGAACTGAAAAAATGAAAGGGAAATGAATGTTTATCTGTGAGGTCCTGACTTGGAGCCTGAGGGCCTTTGGGTCCTAATGCTACTGTTGGCTGCATGATCTTGGATAAGGCACTTCACTTCCGGGCCTCTGTTGTCCCACCTGCAAAACTGGGAAAAGTAATAACATCTATCTCACACAGGGAAGTGGGGTTGAGGGGTGAAGACAATGCATGTAAAGTGCTTGGGACCAAGGAGACGATCCGCAAATGGTGCTATTGTGGTTTCTCTTGATTCCCTTTCATGAGAGGCTCACACTTGCTCCTAGCAGCAGGAGGAACTGGACAGCCTCTTACTTGTAATACCTCAGCATCTCCCAAAGGGTTCAACTTTCATAAAACCATGGTTTGGTACCATTCCATTGAGTTCCAACCACTCTATCCTTCTTAAGAACCTACCATTACTGTCAAAACATCCAATTTTCCCAATAAACACATTTGCAAATTATTAAAGGAGTATAATAAATTATCTGCATTGTCCAATTAATGAAAGAGACCCTTCAATCCCAGCTCATGGAAGAGTCTTAGTGGACGATCCATCTTCTCTGATCCAATCCAATCTTATTTGGCCTGCTGTAGCTTGGAAATGGTGATAAAGTTGCAGCAACCACTTGGCTTCAGGTGACTCTTAGGGAAGAGATTTGCTGGAAACTTTCCAATGTGCGGTGAAAAGGCATGTTTGCAAAGAGTTGCATACAATGGAGGCAGGACACTCTTGGCTACGGACCATCTCGTAGGTCTTGATTCTGAAGCATTGGCTGAAAAGAACCCAAATGAGCCTGTAGTTGTGAGTTGTCCCCTTGTGTGATCTTCATAAGGTAGCACCAGTCTTCCCAGAGGTCCGTGGATTCTGGCACAGTCTCCCAAGTACCATCACAGTCCTTTGCCCATTTGAGCTTTTTATCACCCCAAGGCAATTGGTAAACAGCTCCATTTTACAGATACGGAAAAACAAACGTGCAGAGAGGTTTAATAACTCGTCCAAGGTCACTCAACTAGTAAGAGGCACGCCCACTGTGAAAAATCATGAAGAATGGAATCTCCGTATTTGGAGATTTGGGCTCATTCCACTTTTAGGAATCTCAGAATGTCCTGTTCACACTCTGAAAACAGAAGATTCCACGAGGGAAGGAAAACTGTGTTTATTCCTCAGCCCTTCTCCAAGCCAAAGTTAGTACTGGCCAAACCTGGATCAGGTAAAATTTTGTTGGGGTCTCTTTTTGCCCTCTGCCTTGCTTTTATGGCTGCCACTGGGCTGATGTGAGGTTTAGTGGGAGTTACCATAAGAAGAGGCTTGGAACAGTCTTTAGGGGTCAGACAGCCTGGGGTCTAGTCTGGGTTCTGCCCCTTAAAGCTATGTAACCTTGGACAAGTACCTCTCCTTTTCTAGGCTTTTACATGAGAATAAAAATAAATAATCAATAACTTTTGTTGAGTGCTTGCCACATGCCAGGTGTTACCTTAAGCTCTTTTTTTTTTCCTTCTTTCATCTTTCCTTTGCATTCTTTCAACAGCCCTATGAGGTAGAATGTGTCACTGTTCCTATTTTCAGATGAGGAAACACTAACAATAAAATTTTAAAAACCCTGAACTGGTGGGAAAAATATATCTATGCAGAGTTTCAGCTCAGCGTTCCTCAGAGGCCTTCACCTGGGCTGGGGCCAGCACATTTCCTTTCAAGCGTGAAATGGGAATATTTTAGGCTTTCTGGGCCACAGTCTCCTGCAAATCATTAATTCTGTCATTGCAGCCTGCCAGAGGCCATAGATAATATGCAAATAGCAGCTGTGCTTGCTTCTATAAAACTGTACAGCCCAGGCAGTGGGCTGCATTTGGCCTGTGGTCTGTAGTTTGCTGGTCCTTGACCTAGGTGAATGGCTTCTCCTACCTGTTAGGGCCAATCCTGTTAAAGTGCCTTACTTCCCCTCTCTTCCTGTCTTCTGTCTTAAAAGTGCCTGAGCCCAACTTGCTGGAGGGCTGACCTAAAGGAACAATGGAAGATGAGGATACAAGGAATTTGTGGACACCGCGCAGACTGGGGAAGCTCACTGGTACTATCAGCCAGTGAAGTGACAACATGCTGGCAGGGACAGTACCAGGGTCTGATTGGCAGAGGGGTCATAGTTCTCGAGGGCACAGAAGGAGAGAGACTTGCCTGGGTGAAACCGAGCCCCAGGTGGTGATTGGGATAAAGGAAACAGGTCCAGACAGTAGAAAGCATTAAACGGGGCCCAGGAGGAGCCCTGTGTTAAGGGTTCATCTCCACCTCAAGGAGAATGCAAATGCAAAGGAAAGCGGGGACAGAGACCTGGAAAACACAGGGCAATGGAGATGGGGCTGGAGAAAAACCTCAGTCCATGACTAATGGTAGAATGGGGCCACCAAAACCCAGGCCACCTGGGGTGGGCCAGGCACAAAGCTAACCAAGAGCCAGGCCTGTGGCTGAGCCCAGGTAAGGAGTCAGCAAAACCCCTCCCTACCAGGGAAAGCAGTCAGGGCCTTATCCTGTAGCCTGCTTCTGGAACCCTCTCCAGGAATCCTTGCACAAAAAGAGAATGTCACAAGTTGGCCTTCGCTGAGCCCACTGGGCATGTCAAAAAAGACCTGGTGCTTCACTGAATCCTTTCCAATGTAACAGACATTAATTATCATTAAACACAGACTGCCAGAGCCTGGCTGCACAGACACTGCACATACTCTCAAAGCTGTCACTTTACAAGTGAGATAAACAGATGCACAACTTACTATAACACAAGACACAACGTTCACAGAAGCACAGCCAGGCTCGACTGGGCCTATGTGGGAGGTCCTCCTTTCAGCAGAACTGTTAGTAAAATACTCAGGAAGATCACTTCTATCTGTGCTCCTAATACAGGGCCCAAAAGTTCCCTGCGAGTTTTCATAGAATGAACATCTGCCACTCTGTCTTTCTAGAACTCATGTGAAACACTCACACTGCTAAGGCCTCGTTTTCCTTAGAGAAGCATGAAGGTAACAGACCTCCCTGAAGAAAAGGGAGGCTCTCCCTAACCAATGTTGCGGGGGGGGGGGGGGGGGGGGGGGGAGGAAGAATGTTCTCATGCCCTTCAAGTCCTCTGAGAGAAGGGACTTCAAATCAATATTGTATCTAACTCACCAAATTACCTGAAAGAAAGCCTCTCCCTCTTACTAACTGCAAATTTAAGAAGAGTTAGAAGATGTAAAATTTAGAAGAAATGGCTGCCAGGAACTAAACTCTAGCTCTATAAACTGATTTTTAAGAAACCCCAGGCTCACAAAGATAATAAAAAATGCATTTAATAGCATGTCAATATACAGTTTAAATGTGTAGTAAGTCTTCTTTTAAGTCAGTGCATTACAGGGATAAAGAGGAGAAATTTCATTTGGAATGCACAGCCAGACGCGAGGTGTGCGTGTTGGGGATCTTGGTGCTCTCACACTACTAAAACTCCATGTAGAGGTGTCACTCCAGTGCTGTGCTCTGTGCCAACCAATGCAGGACTCGTCTGGTCTAGTATGTGATCTACAGCTTTAAGTCAAATAGTATACAAGTATTAACCAAAGAGTAAAATTTATTATTCACAAAACTAAAGTGGTTATCATAAAGCTTACAAGAAAGTACAGCCTAAAACTAATGAGTTGAAAAACTAGTTTTAAAAATAATAAAACTTACTGGACAGGTTTGGAAAATGGTATTATAAAACAAAGAAAACAACTGGCACAGTTTGACCACCTAATTTCTAAGTGCACTTTGTAACGTTCCTTGCAAGCTGCCACTTTTCCCAGGATAATGACAAAAAAGCTTCAGTCAGGTGTCACTGGCTTATGGTGACAGGTTTTTTTTTTTGTTTGTTCTTTTTTTTATTGCATTGCCAAGAGTAGATTTTAAGAAAAAACACTACAAAGGTTTCAAAAACCCTATTTATTCTCTATCATCAAAAATAGCAACAGGGGGACTTATACAACTTTTCTGTGAGTACCCACCAGTCTATTTTTTTTTCTTAAAAAAAATAGAAGTTAGTTAAAGAAAAATGATTTGGTTTTTAAAAAATAATGTAAGGAAACACTTAATCAGATAGCCCAAGGAGTCATCAGAAATATGTGTAGCAAGAAAGCGTCATTGTGGCCCTCTCCGGCCTTTGCACGTCTTTTACTAAACTAGGAAGAGGATGTACAGTACCAATATGTCCCCAACCTGCTTGGATCGAATCGTTTTGTTTTGAAACCCATTATTGCTAAACCAGAGTGTTGTCACTGAGAGCCGAGGAGTCCACTCATAGAGGATAAAATTGAGAGGCTGCTTCGGAGGACTGGATCTCCACCTGGGCCATTTTGAACTGGGTGCACTGCAGCCACTTGCGGAGGGCCACCAGGCCAGCACTGCTCTGACCTGAGCCCGGCAGCGTCCTTAGGCTGTGGTGGTTCACGTGGTTCTGAATGGCCTGGAGGCGAAGCTGGAGGCCCGCAGACAAGTGCTGTTAAGAAAGGACACAATGTTAGCTCCTTCCTGTTGGGGCCCAGGCAACCTCAGAGGATCGGGTCGCTGGGGGCTGCTGTGCAGGCAGGGCCCCGCTCAGCTCCAGGGCTCTCTGGACTAAGAAGGGAAGCTCTCAAATTTGGCAATACTCAGGGTGGGGGACATGGGACAGTCCCACTTCCAGAGTCACAGTGGCCCAACTCCATCCAAATAATGACATGCCCGTCTTGAATGACTCTCTGAAACAGGAAAGCAAAGCTGACAAACCAGTGGCTGGGCTGACACTTGTGCTTGTCTCTAGCAGCTATTCACCACACAGGCCTGGCTTTGTGGTTAGTGCCCGACTCCCTGGCTTCACATCCTGACCCTTGGCTCATCAATCTGGGTCAGGGGTTCCTCCAAGGCAGGGGTGGGGGTGGGGGAATAGTAACACTTCCTTCAGGGGCTTCTGTAAAGCTCAAGTGGGTTGCAGAGTGTTAGAGGATATGCCATGGTGGGTGCCCATTACATCTTAACATATTACAATCTCTGTCCTCATGTCAGGGCACATGGAAAGGCCAGGCAGACAGTTCTTCTTCCTTCTCCTAGCTCCTCAGCAAGTCGTGCAGGCCTCTTCAGCTCGTTCTGTGAAGCAGAGGAACAGCGGCTCTGATGCTTCCAGGGGAGTATGGGCCACTCCGCTTTCCACAGGGAAAACTAGTGCCTAGTACGAAAGAAGGTCTCCCACATTGCAGATGCCCTGCACGGCCAGTGGCCACAAATAGTCCTGATGCCACAATCAGGACACAAGGCTGCCAGCACTGTTGACAGCTGCCTGCCCTCTTTCTATGCCTGGCAATTGGTCAGGCTCCCTGTGACCCTCTTCCTTCCCCAACTTGGAGGAGAAATCCAGCAAGAGAGCTGCTGGCCTCCCTCCAGCCTCCAGACTCCTAGCACTGTGATGCGGTGGGGGTCTTGGATGGAGTGGGTGGTTGGCTCCGCCAGCTTGCTGTCAAGCCCCAGGAACTACATTTGCTAGCCACGAAGTATGCTTACAATGACAGGACATCACTCCAGGTGAGGCCTGGGATTGGGACACAGATTTGGTCGGGGTCTTCCCCTTCCAGGCTGTGGGACCCTATCTAAGTCCCTCTTCCTTTTGGTCTCATATGTCCTCATATATAAAATGATGGGATAGGTTCCTTGTAGCTCTATTTGGTCACTCACTCAATGTTCTTAACAGAATTTTGCCCATCACAGAACATCAATCTTGGTGGTCAGGAAACACCACTAATGTGCTTGGGACCAGATCCCATGGGTATCCTTTGAGGACAGGACAGATTTGGGGCCTGCATTCTAATCAGGGGACTGAGCCTTGCCCAGACCCAGGGACGCACCCTCCACCTGCATCCTCATCAACAGCGAGCAGAGGGACAGAGGCTCCGGCTGTTGTGCTCTACCTGTGGGCTCCCTACCTGGCCCACAGGGTCTCCTGTATTATCAGCCCACTAAGACCAGGAACAGGGTGAATTCCTCTTTCCTCACAGTAAGTGGAGTGTCAACAATTGCTATGAATGTTCTGATGTTTACCGGAGAGAACAGCTTCCAACTGGCCCAGAGGTGACTTACCTTGATGTTCGACTGAATCATTGGCAACCACATAGGTATCAGCTGCACAGAGAGAGACAGAAGCCTCATTATTATTGTTCTCCACTTTCCCACACAGGCTTCCATGACTGCAAAGGAGCACAGCCCATGCTGGAGCCTTTTATACCGTGTGCGGAAGCAGCCCCCACTGCGCAGCTCTCAGTCCCCAGCAAAATGTCTTTCTCAGGCCAAACCCCACTGAGCCAGTGGCATTTGGAGGTTAATAAGCACCCCGCGAGTGCCTGAGACACACACTTTAGAGCAAATGACTGTCTCTTGAAAGCTACCAAATACAGGAAATTAAATGTGTATTTATTTAATTAAGCCCTCACTTTCTTGAAATAGAATTTCCTCTATGGGCTCTTCAGAACTGAGTCTCTGAGAGGAATGGGGACTCTTCTAGCCTCTAGTCATTAGAAGATACCACTGGGCAGCAGACAGAATCCTCCAGTGATAGAGAAGGCACCCCTGGAGGTGCTGGCTGTGATTTGGAAGGGACAATTCAGCAAGATGGAGCTGGTCATCTGTAAAATGTGGGTGTGCACATAGGCAAGCAGCAAGTCCCTGCTGGGGTGACTAGGCTCTGCTGTCCCTCTGATGTGGCCCTTCCATGGAGCAACAGGAGCCTTGGCCCCACTGCCTCCAGGAGCAGCTTCCCTCTCTTTGCTTTGGTCTCCTGGTCACATTTCAGTCCTTTAAACTATAAGTAAATATTCATGGCCTTATACAACCAGAAGTCCAGAACAGAATGTGACATTTCCCACAGTGGGTTCCACAGAAACCAACCTGGGTGAGGTTTCAATGACATAGGGGACTATGAGCCAACAAGTTTGGAAGTGCTAGTTTATTTCAGAGCTTCTGAGACCTTTAATAAGCTATACATCATATCATTCCACTCCCTGTTCCTTCCAACCTTCCACTCTAACATAGAGTAGGGTTGCTTTGGATTAAATCATGTGTCCACAAAATTCACGCTGTGCCTTGAATTGGACCATTTTTGGAAATGGAGATGAAGATGTAGTTACTTAAGATGGGGTCATACTCACTGCTACATCTATGTTCATAGCAGCACAATTCACAATAGCTAGACTGTGGAACCAACCTAGATGCCCTTCAATGGATGAATGGATAAAAAAAATGTGGCATTTATACACAATGGAGTATTACTCTGCATTAAAAAATGACAAAATCATAGAATTTACAGGGAAATGGATGGCATTAGAGCAGATTATGCTAAGTGAAGCTAGCCAATCCCTAAAAAACAAATGCCAAATGTCTTCTTTGATATAAGGAGAGTAACTAAGAACAGAGTAGGGTCGAAGAGCAGGAGAAGAAGATTAACATTAAACAGGGATGAGAGGTGGGAGGGAAAGGGAGAGAGAAGGGAAAATGCATGGAAATGGAAGGAGACCCTCAGAGTTATACAAAAGTACATACAAGAGGAAGTGAGGGGAAGGGGAAAAATAATATAAGGGGGACAAACGAATGTCAGTAGAGGGAGCAGAGAGAGAAGAGGGGAGGGGAGGGGAGGGGAGGGGAGGGGAGGGGAGGGGGGATAGTAGAGGATAGGAAAGGCAGCAGAATACAACAGACACTAGTATGGCAATATGTAAATCAATGGATGTGTAACTGATGTGATTCTGCAATCTGTATATGGGGTAAAAATGGGAGCTCATAACCCACTTGAATCAAATTGTGAAATATGATATATCAAGAACTATGTAATGTTTTGAACAGCCAACAATAAAAAATAAAAAAATAAAAAAAAAAAAAGATGGGGTCATACTAAAGCAGGGTGGACCCCCAATCCATATAGCTGGCATCCTTATGAAGAGGGGAGGCTGGACACAAACACACACAGGTACACTCAGGGAGAATGCCACCTGAAGACGAGGGCAGAGATCCACAAATCAAGGAATGTCAAAACTCCTCCAGAGGCAGGAGGGAGAGAGGAGCTCAGGAGGGGCCCGCCCTTCCCACACCTCAATCTAGTCATCCGGCCTCCAGCAATGGCAGGAGACCAGGCTCTGTGGTTTTTGTGACAGAGGCCCTAGCAGGTCGATTCAAGGCCCTCCAGGAAGCAAAGAGAAAGTCTGAGCACAGGTCCGAGGTGGGAGTGCACAAGGCAACGAGGGGCAGGACAGACCCACAAGGTGCTGGAAGTGAGGTTTACAGGAACATGTCGGGACAAGGAGTTTAGAGAAGCAGAGGCCAGGCCACTAGGAATCAGCCCTCAGATGACCCTGGAGGCCCTGTGAGGGACCTGGAGTTTAATCCAGATCCCTACAACTTCTGAAGAGGGGTGCCCCCTTCACCATGAGCAGGGACAGCTTCTGGGCATGGAGAGAGATTCTGCCTGCAGAGACACTCCTTTAAAAATAAACTTGCTTGAACTGATAAACTGCATTTCTCCCTGTTTTTGTTTCCAAGGCTAAATCTGGCTGTTATTCTACTTTTAACATTCTGTTAAGATATACAGTTGCTAACTTGCATTGACATTTAGTCCTCAACATTCCTAAACACAGTGTTTACGCTGCAATCAGCTATCACTCTATCGCTAACATAAGCACTGTGTTTAGATATGGAGCATGGTGTACCAAAAGATGTGACTGGACTAAAACAAAATCACACCCTCTCCATGCTTCACTTAGCCTGGAACTCTCATTAAAAAAGAAACAACAAATAAACAAAAAACACCAAACCATGAGATTACAAAGGTTGGTGCCAGGTAAGGTCATGCCCTCTCTGGCCCTCTCTGAACAGGACTGCTCAGCTAAACATTCTGAATGGCAAAAAGTAACGAGTCAAACCATCTCCCCACACAACATCTGCATAGCAGAAAGCAAGCCCTGGGGGTCCTCATGTCTATAGACTTTGGCTGACTCTGACTATTTCTTATGGAAGACGGCCTATATTTCTCAATTCTGGGGAAATACTTGAAATAACCTCCTACTAAAAATCCTGAGAGACTTGGGAAGGGGAGGGGGTGGCCCTGGGTGGACTTTGTCTCCAGTAATGTCACTGGCACTAAGGGTACAGATAATGCAAGCAAGGAGAACAGTGATGTTGGTTCTAAAAGGGTCTTTGTTCTCTTCCTACTGATGTAACATGTGATCATATAATTCTAAAATATGCCTGCAAGGGACTCTCAGGTTTGTGACTTAGAAATCACATGACTGAAGGCATCCATTAAAGCTCATCACTACTGATAGCATTATATAACCCCATAGTCATCCTATTTCAGGAATGCTAATTTGACTTACTGAGTAATGTTCATTTTAGTTCCCTTTTTGCTAGTGGTTTCTACAAAGCTGTCAGTAAGAATTAGATGTAACTTATTTTGGGCCCTGTAATGTTATAATAAAGCTGGTTGAGGTTTTTTTTTTTTCTCTAAAAACAATATCCAGAAAACTGAAGGGCACTGAAAAAATATGCTGTTTCTCACCAAAATAAAAGTGATACCTTTTCTCCTAACTTGATTTATGCTACAGAATAAATTGAAAACCTCCAATTTCATTGGACTGTATTCATTTCACCAGTGCCTGTTCCTGCCCTCAGAATTAAAGATGGTGGTAAAACCATCTCTATCAGCCAAGACCAGACTACCTGAAAGAACTACAAAGTCCAGACAAACTATGTGAAACAGTGATTTTTCAGATATTGAGCATCAGGTAATGCAGGACAGAGAAACAAACAAGGTGAGCCCTAGCTCACTGTCTGGAGAGAGTTTTCCAGGTAGTAACACATCAGGAGGAACCCAGGTGGAGCCCAGTAGTCTTCTTGGGTTAAGATGCAGCTGAGGTTCAGGAGGTCAAGGGTAGATTTGCAGGGTACAAGACTGGAAGGGAGAGATTTGCAGAGAGAGAGAAAGAAAGAGAGAGGGAGGGAGAGAGACACAGACAGATATGCAAAGGGATCCCTTTGAGTCTTCAGCTGAATATTAACCAATGTACGCAGGTAAGAAAATGACCCAGTACTGAAGATAAAATCCATGGTGGTCACATAAGGTCAAGAATAGTTTGTGTTCCTACTAGTCACAGTTGAAAAATCTTGTAATCATATAACACTGTACTCATAAGGACACTGGTAATGCAATAGTAGTACTCAGTAATTATTTGTCCAAAAAGTTCTGCTCTTATCCACCTAACAAAACTTAGATGTAATTTAGCTTGTGAGTATTTATTTATTTATTTACATAAATTAAAAAAAAAAAAACCTAGCACCCAATAAAGTCAAATTCACAATGTTAAGAATCCAATAAAAAAATTACCAGGCATAAAAAGCAACTCTTAGCAAATACAAAACAAAATTGATATAATCTTTGCATTTTATCAGATCATAATGGGATGTAATTAGAAATCATCACATAGACAAACTATATAACTATATAAACTAAATGAACACATGGAAATTAAACAATACACTTTTGAACAATGAATGGGTTATACAGAAATCAGGGAAGAAATTTTAAAATTCTTAGAATCAAACTATAATAGCAATACAATGTAATCAGAATATTTGGGACACTAAGAAGAAAGTTTATGGCTATGAGTGCATACATAAGAAAATCAGAAAGATGCTAATAATCTAATGAAGCATCATCTCAAGGCCCTAGAAAAACAAGAACAAACCAATTCCAAAAGTTATCAGAAGGAAGGAAATAATTAAGATCAAAGTCAAAATCAACAAAATACAGAATTTAAAAAATGCAAAGAATGAGTGAAGCATTGGCTCTTTGAAGAGATGAACAAGACTGATAAACCCTCAGACAAACTAACCAAAAGAAAAACGTGAGAAGACACAAAATAATAAAATTAGAGGTGAAAAAGGAGATATTAGCATAGATATCACAGGAATCCAGAAGATCATTATGGGCTATTTGGATATGTTGAACAATCTGGAAGAAACCAATATATTTTTATACACATATGATCTGCCAAAACTCTTTTAATAGGCTATAGAAAACCTAAACAAACTAATAACAAGCAATGAGATTGGAACAGTTATAAAAAACCTTCCAACAA